GTCTCTGTATGTTAGCTCTAATGAAATATTAAGAGCATCCGTATTTTACGTATTAATAAACATTTTAAAGCAGGTACCTACCTAGTCCAAAATTTCTTTTCGTAATAAACCACCATTGCACTATCCACTTTTATATTTCCTCGTAGTCAATTTAACGTCAATTCTTTATTATTCGTTTTAGGTTTTTCAATTTCTTCAACTTCAAAACAAATAATTTTACTTTCATTAATTATTCAAAAACCTCCATTTCGTCTTTTTGTTGATGATGAAATTATTTTGTTAACATAGTCTGAACTTTTTTCCCAATACCTAGTTGGAAACAACATAATATGAAAACATGTCGGTAAAAAGTATAGAGTTCTATAAACTATTTTTTCCTCTTTGGTAGGCACTTTGCTGGATATTTCACTGATATATTATGAAATTTCACCATTCACAACTAATGATGTTGATACCTATTTATAGAAAGCACTGTACTTATTTAAGAATACGAATTTTCGAATAATTCACCACCCAGAAATAAACAAGAAGGTGCTTTTTTAGAGTTAACATCAATTTCTCATTATTTTTTCAAGTATTTCTCGCTTCTTCCACTGCCAAAAAACATTTTTTTTCTAATCAATCATCAATCCTTCCTCAAAAAAATCGTATCCTTTTATTTTGTTACTAATGATTTCAATTCCATCAATAAAGTTTGAACAAATTTTTTTCAATGTCCGAAAACAAAAATAAAATTGAGGCATGAAACTAAAAAACAGTTATGGTTATTTTATCATTTTTTTGTGGTTGTTTGATTTCATTATGACTAGTCAAAACTAATAATGATATCTACCAACAAGCAAAACAAGAATTCAGTCACTTATGCAGTGTTTTTTTGAAAGGAAAATTGATAAACAAATATATTCAGCCANCTTGTGAGCCATAAAGAAAAAGGAGGATAATAATAGCGATGTATTAAATAGTTTTATAGAAATAGTTTTTCACACATCTATACGTACACTGAAAAAAATTTCTATCATTTCATCAACCTTTGTAAACACTATGTCACCATAGTGTCACCATACACGTTTGAAGTCTAACGTGTATGGTGTACCAACAAAGAGGTCAAAACAATTATTATCAAATTGATTGAAAACACACTTGAACTGAGAACTGCCTGATAGAAAAAGTTTTGCCAAATATTTGTAATCAGTTACAGAAGATGAAGTGGTTTTGATAATAATTTTGATTTGATGTCGAGGATATCGACATGAAAACTGTTTTGTTAACATAAGTGTTTCCTGCGAATCTTTTTTGATGTGACAGGTAGGAATTATTACTATAAAACAGCTCTTCTGTACCTATACAATTGAAAAAAATGTCCTGATCAAGAAATGTATACCTATACAATGGAATATGGTTTCCTTGAAGAAATTCAGACTATATTTTGATAGAAAGGATATTAATTTCGCCAAATGACAAGCAAATAGTTTCCCTCTCAATCACTTTTCAAAGAAATTTTTCTTTTTTCATCTTTTGAAAAAAAAAATCCAACTAACCTGAACTGATGAATTTCTATGTTCGAGAATATATAATCAAAATATGGGAATATCGTCAATGTCTCTGTATGTTAGCTCTAATGAAATATTAAGAGCATCCGTATTTTACGTATTAATAAACATTTTAAAGCAGGTACCTACCTAGTCCAAAATTTTGCACCATTGCACTATCCACTTTTATATTTCCTCGTAGTCAGTTTAACGTCAATTTTTTATTATTCGTTTTAGGTTTTTCAATTTTTTCAACTTCAAAACAAATAATTTTCCTTTCATTCATTATTCAAAAACCTTCATTTTGTCTTTTTGTTGATGATGAAATTATTTTGTTAACATAGTCTGAACTTTTTTTCCCAATACCTAGTTGGAAACAACATAATATGAAAACATGTCGGTAAAAAGTATAGAGTTCTATAAACTATTTTTTCCTCTTTGGTAGGCACTTTGCTGGATATTTCACTGATATATTATGAAATTTCACCATTCACAACTAATGATGTTGATACCTATTTATAGAAAGCACTGTACTTATTTAAGAATACGAATTTTCGAATAATTCACCACCCAGAAATAAACAAGAAGGTGCATTTTTAGAGTTAACATCAATTTCTCATTATTTTTTCAAGTATTTCTCGCTTCTTCCACTGCCAAAAAACATTTTTTTTCTAATCAATCATCAATCCTTCCTCAAAAAAAATCGTATCCTTTTATTTTGTTATTAATGATTTCAATTCCATCAATAAAGTTTGAACAAATTTTTTTCAATGTCCGAAAACAAAAATAAAATTAAGGCATGAAACTAAAAAACAGTTATGGCTAATATTTCATCATTTTTTTGTGGTTGTTTGATTTCATTATGACTAGTCAAAACTAATAATTATATCTACCAACAAACCAAACAAGAATTCAGCCTCTTATGCAGTGTTTTTTTGAAAGGAAAATTGATAAACAAATATATTCAGCCATTTCCCAAATAAATGATGGTTCTTTTATAAAGAAAGCCTCAACTAACTCTTTCCAATGTTTGCGTGCATAACAATCGAAATCATTCTGCAAAAATTCTTCGGAAAATGACAAGAGTGAAAAGCTGAATCAATTTTTTCAATACAATAACCCAATTTTCATTTTCGACGTGAAATACACTTTTAAAAAAATCAGTATTGACAACCTCTGTAATTTTAGTTCAAAAGAAGAACCACCGTCTTTTCATATTCACATTTCCTCATAACCAATTTCCTCAACCCCTTCTAGCTAGTTCACAAGTTACAACTAATAAAGATATCGACCACACTGTAAGCAAAACAAGATTTCAGTCATTTTACGACCCAGAAATAAACATAAAAGGCGTATCTTGAAAGTTATCATGGTGACAGAGCTGTACGAAATAGAGGACCACTTTATACATCACCTTTAGTTAGGTGTATGCTACAAAGGCTTTCATCTAAACGCCACATTTCAAACTGACACTGTCCCCGCCCACCGCATCACCAATCCCCCTCCAGTCCTCGCCGCCATTGGCGCTCGACCGGGCGAGTCTCCGTGGTAACAGCCCTGCCAGCACCAATAGCCGGCGCGGAAGTAGCATCTGGCGTCGCCCGCGTACACAAACTCAGTCTCATCCCGAGAGCAACACACAAAGCTCTCTCCCTGCAACTCGATCTTCTTTTGTTGATAGTTACTCGAGTAACACGTTTTCGTCACCGATACAGTTCTTTAGTGCAAGTGATGGCGGCGAAGGTTCAGTGAACGGTAGCAACACTGGCAACTCACATGGCTCTGGGGCTGAGTTCTGGGATCTGCTCCGGAAGCACGGGTCCCGGTTCAGGAGCCCACTCGGAGACCTCTTCATCTCCCGGGATCAGCGTTCCCATCCCGATTACCCCGACCGCGATGCTGCCGAATCCCATGTTTGCGCTGCCGACGCTCAACTTCACCGTGACCCAAGTGGCTGCTGTTTGTGAAACCCTGGAGGAAAGTGGTGATATCGAAAGATTAGCTCGGTTCTTGTGGTCTTTGCCCGTGGCGCATCCGAACATCGGCGAACTGAACAAGAACGAAGCAGTGCTTAGAGCCAGGGCGATCGTGTCCTTCCACAGCGGCAATTTCAGAGAACTCTACTCGATTTTGGAGTCGCACAAGTTCACCAAGGGCTCCCACGGAAAGCTGCAAGCCATGTGGCTGGAAGCGCACTACCAGGAGGCCGAGAAACTGAGGGGTCGTGCTCTGGGTCCGGTTGATAAGTATCGCGTGCGGAAAAAGTTCCCCTTGCCTCGTACCATCTGGGACGGTGAGCAAAAGACGCACTGTTTCAAGGAACGGACTAGGAGTTTGTTGCGGGAATGGTATCTGCAGGATCCGTACCCGAATCCGACCAAGAAGCGGGAGCTGGCCCAAGCGACGGGGCTGACCCCGACGCAGGTTGGGAACTGGTTCAAGAACCGCAGGCAGAGGGACAGAGCTGCAGCTGCGAAAAACAGGTTAGTGAAGCTGTGTTGATATCTAAATTGTGGAAAAGATATTGATGTTTTAGAATATTCGTAAAAGAATTCCAGTTACTGAACACATACCTATCTATATATTCAAATAATTGGACTTGTAGAGGCTTTTTGGAGCATACAATTGTACGAAATGTTTCTACCACAAAGCTTGATACCTACTCTGCTCTGTGTCATCTCGATCATAACCTATGAACATAGTCTTTATCATCCTAGTCGTTATGCTTTTTACATCTTTCGTCATTTTCAGTTGTTTACGTTAACTTTATATTTCCTAGGTTATTAATTTTCAATTTCGAAAATAGCCACGCTTACTTCCGTGTACAAAAATTAATTTGAATAATATGTTCACAAAATGAGATCCAAGCGAAATCTGATAACTGTATAGGTACTACTTATTCTGGTTTCAAATTAAAACATACCGTACCGTACCGTATTGCAAATCAATACGGTACGAAGGTCTGATTTGAAATTATAGTTAGCTTTCTAAACTTTCAGTCCAAACAAAGAGAGGTTTCTCTTGTTATCAGAATTAATAAAAAATTGATATTTCACAAATTTAATTCACCTAGTTATCCAGTAATTTGAATAAACATCGCACACCTAAGTGAAACTGAGCTAACAATTAACTGCTGGGAATTAAGTTTTATAAGCAATAAATATTGAAGATTCGAGTGATAATCGTATTGAATATTCTGTTGTCATTTATAGAAATATATACCTATTTAGATACATCTCTAAAAGGATTGAAAATCAATAGGTTACACATTTGTGTTGTGGTATACCAGAAGAAATATCATTAAACATGATGAACAATTATTAATTCTAATAATAAATTGATGGATGTAGCCGTTACTACGTGGTAGGAGATCATAATGAAAAAAGAAATAAATAAAAAGTTTATTGCATTAGTTTGAGAATGTCCATATAGGACGAAGCTGCAGTAACGTTAGTTACAATTAAAAGTGGTGAATAACATAGAAATTTCCATTTATCTTTTCATTATTAATTCTAACTTATTGAGATCTATATGAGTGGCTTGGAGGCAGATGCATCCAAACAAACATAACTCAGCTTCTCAATCAACAAATCATAGTGGAACCCTTCAAATGCATCGAAAAAGAGTGTTTACTTATCCTGAGTATTTTCTCCAGGACGACCAACAAAAATTGTACAGAGGGAACTAAAATCTATTATACTAAAATCATCGTGTGAAATTATTACCATGAAAACTGAAACTTTAGATAACACCACTCCAGATATATGGGGTATACCTAAAAACTAAAAAAGATGTATGATAGATAGTTGGGCCTTTATGGAAAATTATCTTTTTGCCTTATTTATACCAGTGACCTGAGAAATATTTTCAAATTGTCATACTAGCTTCATCAGTAAATTTTTTGAACTGATTCAAAGTTTAATTATTCATCTAACTCTTTATTCATTCAAATAGGTAGTTGGCAAAATATTGTCCCGCATCTTATATCAGCCTGTCAAGTCCAACTTATCAGAGAAACGTTTCATTTTCATTCTGTCCTAGATTGATTATTATTTTTATTTCCTACGATCTCACTATTTTTCTTCAACTAGGTTTTTAATACCAATACTCACCTACGTATTCATACGTGATAGTACTTATTGATAATCCTAAAAAATTCGCGATTCTTTTTTTCTGATCTATTTTTGTTTTTCAAAACTTATTTCTTGGTTATGATATTCATGGAAACAAATTCAGTTCATTTTTACCATGTGAAAAGTGATCGAAAATCTATTTTCTGAAATATATTCACCGATGAGATTAACACAAGTAGGAATATGCGAATGGAGAAAAGAAAATTTTATACGATTTTTTTTAGTGTATGACATATTTCTCATGTACTTTTCCAACATAATGTATTAACTATTGTTTTGATAGTTTAGCCATAGGGGAGTTATGATAATTATTTATGAGATTTATTCGAATTGAGTTCTAGTAATATAATTACTTTCATTCTCATTCAAGCAAGAATTGATCACCAGTTGATGAATTCTATATCTGTATAAAGATAGATATTCAGACATATGACATTATTATGTCATATGTCAATATTATGACAGTGTTATGAATGGATATAGGTACGTATAAACGAGTCGTACACATTAATATAATGATTGACTATTCAATTCTTGTAATTTTCCATTCTTTTATAGATTTCGATTTGACTTTGATGTTCATGAACATTTTTTCTGATACATGAAACCTCTAGCTCACCAAAAACACCTTTTAGATTCATTNAAGAGGTCAAAACAATTATTATCAAATTGATTGAAAACACACTTGAACTGAGAACTGCCTGATAGAAAAAGTTTTGCCAAATATTTGTAATCAGTTACAGAAGATGAAGTGGTTTTGATAATAATTTTGATTTGATGTCGAGGATATCGACATGAAAACTGTTTTGTTAACATACGTGTTTCCTGAGAATCTTTTTTGATGTGACAGGTAGGAATTATTACTATAAAACAGCTCTTCTGTACCTATACAATTGAAAAAAATGTCCTGATCAAGACTAGCTGGAAAGTATACGAGTATATATAAAATGAAGGAAAAAATTTGTACATAGAAAACATATTGTCAGTTGAAGGTGTATTTCGACAATATGTTGAAGTTTCTATTAACCAATTTCTTGCTCTTTTGGCGTACAATCTATTTTGTTTTTCGGATGCTGAGACACAAATTTGCTAATCCAAATATATCCCACAAACACCTTGTTCACGTGTGAAATTTGACACTTACAGTTACTTCAGGCCTTGGAAAATGTATATTTCAACTGAATATTCCAAAAAAAAATACATTTCTACTGCTTTTTTCCACTATAATTCTTGTATTGAGAGAGGTATATTGCTGAAGAGGCAATAAGATAAGTATCTTATTCCAAAATATTGGATGTCCACCCTTGAGGATAACAGTGTTCCGTGTAAGTGCAATTTCACTTCTTTCATTAATTATATTGTGTAAAAATCCTGTGAGTGACATCTGAATCGATTCCACAATGAATGTTTGAAATACAAAACTGAACAGGGAACATTGTTTTTTGTATAATTCAGCGTTCTTATAAAAGTATTTGTTTCGAGAAAGTATTTTTTCTGCTGGTTTGTGTCTGATAGTTATTTCTTTGCCTGAACTACTCATCTTTGTACAAAGTTTATTGTGAACTTAATTGCTTCCTTCCTTTGTTTGAGAGATTCCCACATTTGGAGAAGAATGCCTGAGCCTTTTTTCCCTATAATGTTTATTCTTACATCGTCTACCACAATAATTCCGTATAATAGAGTTGAATCTACGAAAGTTTCCTACATATTCAGAAAATTCATATCAATTTTGATAGGGTTAATTTTTTAGTATGAACTAATATTGCTACCGTATTGAGTGATGTGAATTCAATATAACATTGAGCTTCAGTGAAGTGATATAGGGATTTTTTCTGAATTCAATCATGAATTGAATATTAACTACATTCGCTTGTAGATACTTCTTCAGTATCGATAAATCTCAATGAAAATAATTCCACGGTACAGAATAATTACACTCCTCCATTGTGAAAGTGATGGAAGGTCTCACGCTGTTGATGTGTTTCAGGAAGGTGTCTAGTTCAGTCTTCCAATGGTTCCATATTACTTGTTTCAGGGATTTCAAATCATTTTATATAATAGACAATGGAAGTCCGAACTAGTCAAATTCATCACGAAACATTGTCAATCACCTTCAAACAAAAGCAGCTACTTATTGACACTCAGTGTCTAATTGAAGTTGGTATACAGTGAGAAGTGTTGAAAGGAGGTAACGTATTTCTGGAAATTTCTGCAGATGTCGCCCGAATGAGAGATTTCTATAATAAATACAGATACGACCTGCGTCCTTTCCTCCGCAAATCAAGAGCTAGTCGTTCCAACTAGGCACAGGTACTGATCTCTTGCTCTAGATCAAGAAACGAGTAGGAAACGATACTAGAATTTTGAAGTAACAAACTAATGAGATAATATTCATAATTTCAGAATGAAGAAAATTTAGGTTTGAAAGAGAGTCATACTGAAGATGATATCATAACAAATCTGTAAGTTTATGGGCTTTTTCTGGTGATGCTCATAATCTTTTGGATACATATGACCGATAATATTAATACAACCGTTGATGTTAGAGAACGCTGCATTTTTTACATTGTCGCCATATAAAATAAAGCAAATCGAGGATGACATGGGCTTCAGTTGAGTACCTTGAGGTAGTCTGATAACCGAAGAAGGAAATAATGAAAAATATTTTTTCTTTGTATTTTCTACATGAGTTACATTCTCCTTCTGAAACATTGACCTCATGGATCATCTGAATTTACAGAGCGACAGATTCCAGATCTAATCTCTGCAGTAGCGATAAATCTCAATGGAAATATTCCGACGGTACGGAGTAATTACTACTGAGCAAACCACTAAATCAAACTAGCCATTCGATCGGAATGGAAATTATAAGAATAATAAACTATCAAGATATAATAGCTTCATAGACGCATAAACCGAGTAGTGTAAACTACCAATAAAGGAATCCGGTAGTCTCGTTCAATAGACCATATATCAAAGCCGAACTGGTAATTATAACACACGGACTGACGGATCGGATGATATAGGGACAGCTACTGGATACGAATTACGTCGGTATTGGTAACTAAGCGACGGATCGTCGGATGGATATGGAAATGAAACGGAAAAGATTGGAATGCCAGATTTAGACCAGTAGAGAACATCGATGTTTATTGTCTTGAAGGAAATACTAAGGTGGAAAAAATTTCCTACCGCAACATGAACATAGCACCACTAGTAAATATAAGCTAGTGAATTTTGTTGTTCATCTGTTGAAAGTTACTCACCAAAGTTTCAGTCATTTCAGTCATAAATGGTCTTTATTTTACGTGGCGGAGTTTAGCAAAGCTAAATCAGGTTAGAAAAAAAAT